TCTAAAAAGTTTTTAGTATTTATATAATTTATTATACTATTTAATAAAAATATATTTATTTATTTATTTAATTAATAAATTAAAAATTTAATTTAATTATAGATATTATCAAAAAAATTTTTGATAATAATAAATTCTTAATTTATTATTATTTTTTTAATTATAAACTAGTATTAAATATAAAATCTATGGGTCTATAACATAGTAATAATGCTCCCAGGTCACAATCATAAGATTCAGAGTTCAATATCATCTACAATGCATTAAGAAAGTCTTCACATGACAATAACTCTGCAATGAATGAATCAAATCATATGTATAATAGCTTATTAGAAAGCTAAAAAGTTTAAAATTTATTGTGATAACTTTAATATGAAATATGATCACTATTCTTATCTATTACAAGCCTACAATGGTCGTTCATTGAGTTTATAAATTCTCTAAAGTACTGTTAGGGATTTTATCCCATTCCTCTACCATATATTGTTTTAATTTATTCAGATTTTTTGGCCACCATTTCTCAACATTATTTTTAACAAGGTTTCATAAATTTTCTATAGGATTTAGATCGGGGCTGTTTGAAGGCTAAACCATGACTTCAGAAACTTCTTTTTTTAAAAATTCTTTTACTATGTGGCTTGTATGCTTGGGATCATTGTCATGCTGAAATATCCAATGACTTCCAAGTGTTTTTTTAATTCCGAAAAACTGATTTTTCAAAATTTCTACATAAAATGGATCTGTCATTATATTCTCAAAACAAAAAAGATTAGTTTTACCATTCTTCCAAAACCCACCCCAAGCAAAGATTTTTTTTTTATTTTTGGAATTCGTCGTATCGGCTGTTTATTTTTATGCCAATATTTTACGGTGTTCCTAAACAATTGGAAGGCTATTTCATCAGAAAAAACTATTCGATTCCAATTATAATTGAGATATTTTTTCATCTATTCCACATACTTTTGAATTTATACTTCTATAAGCTTTGGTGTTACCTCGGCACAACTTTTTGTATAGCCAAGCTGGTTCAAATGTTTCCAAATAGTAACGTGAGATACCTGAATTTCTTTTTTTAGTAGCATAATACTTAATGCTTTTGTTAATATTGAAGAATCTTTTTTTATTCACCTTATTAATAGCTTTGAATATTCGGAAGAAATTTTTAAAGGGTGGTCATTGCACTTTCGATGGGTTACATTTTCATTTTTTTTTAGTTTAGTTAGGTTATAGTATATCGTAGATCTCAGAAGACCCATATTTTTGCATATTTCTCTAGCGGTTTGTATTCCTTTATCCTATTGTTGCTGTATTGCTTTTGCATATATATCAATATAAGCTCCCATTTCTCTGGTTGATAAAAAAAAAAACTAGGGTGATGCAAGATATTGTATTACAAAAAAATTCAGATCACTTTAATAACCAATAAGTATTATTTTATTTGATAAAATTCTAACTAAAAATAGAAAAGTTACATTGATTAACTTTGTGATACAAAAATTTGTCCAAAGACTTTCTTAATGCACTGTAGAAGCCAAGTGAAAAAATATTACACACAATAAAACAAATCTATTGGATAACAAGTTAATACTTATCATTGGTTATAGTCCTGATTATTTTATCAATATTTGAAATGAAAGGATCTGTTATAATACAACATCACCTATAGCTGATCTCTATCAAATCAGGCTAATTTATGGGTGTTGTAAATGATCAATATCTTATTATTATCATAATAATGTGGAGAAAAATAGAACTGATCTCATAGTCAACCAGAATAGAAACTGGATTGATAAAGATACTCTAACAATCTTACATACTGATAAAAAAATTGTCAAGTCAAGAAGATTGAAGTCTTGAAGAGAGTAAATATTGTATCAGTGGAATACATAAAAGCATGGTCAAACTTGCTTATGATGAATCATTGAAAGATCTTAATAGAAAAAGAAATCTGCAGATCATATCAAAGTCCCGAAACTGAAATAGATTAGAGTACATGCAATAGTCTGATAATTAGATTATTCTATAAAATTGTTTTAAAAAAAATTAAGAGAACATCATGTAGTTTCCCTTAATAGAACTAGTTAGTATATATAATATATAATACATTTATCATATACAAATCATCATATGTATAATATTATTTCATAGTAAATAAAAATACAGAAAAAAGTTCCCAAAAGAAGAAAAATTGATTGTGAAGTAACTGAAGATCTTTTTAACCTTTAAAACAAGAGGCTTATAGAGGTTTTTTACAGTAAAAAGACTTATTTTCTTTTTTTTTTACTGTCTTGGTTCTCTTAGAGCTCCTATTTTTAGAGAATTTTGCCTATCTCAGTTTGACTCTAAATTTTGGATAGTATAAATCCTTATCAAAGGTAATTGGCTAACATGAAACATATCAATTTTTGAAATATAAACAAGCTCTTATTAATCACACTCATATGCCTCAATACATTATTGATAATATAGAAAAGAAAGTTCTAAAAAAAGTGTTCCCTTCAATTGTGTATATTCAAATTATAGAAAACAATTATGATATCAAAAGATAAGTAATGGATAGGAAAAAAAGATCCAACTTCCATCTCTTATTAAGTTCCTTATATAGTGAAAAAACTTTTTTAAATAAAAGCTGAGGTCTCCAAATTTCTATCTCAGTTAGGCAAAGTTTTTGAAAAGATTTTTTTTATTTCTGTTAGGTAAACTTTTTCTTAATATAGTGCTAGCTTCAGTAGTAATAAACAAATTTGTACATTAATAGAAAAATAAGTTACTTAAATATTTTTCTTAAAGTCAATTTCAGAAATGGTTAAGTTTCTTAAATGTTATAAAGTTTAGAAAATATTTTAATTAAGCAAACCCTTTTCAAAAGAAAACTATGAAATGGAGTAAGAACCTTTTGAAAGGCTTTGAATTGTATTCACTTTTCCCTTTTTTCCTAGTATCAACTTTAGTAATTTATCATTTTTGGAGATAATCGATAGTAACAAACTGTTGATAATAATCCTGATTAACTTAGAGGCACTATACTAATCTACTAGAAGAGTATAATATTGTTCTCTAAATCTAACTTAGAGTATTTAGTTTAGACTTAGTTTTGTTTAGTTCAAATTAGTTTAATAGACTTTTCATATTTTTAAGTAGTATAATTCTTTAACTAATAATATACAATAATAAGTTAATCACTTTGTGAAAAAGTCTATAAAATATTTTGATATTTCTGAATATCTCAATAAAGATTTGTCAAAGTGACATGATTATGTGTTTTAAAAAAAAAAACTAGTATTAAATATAAGATATCTTTATATTTATAAATTAATTATGATTTATTATAACTTTTTTATTTATAATAAATTCTTATTTATAAAGTTAAAAAATCATTAATAAAAAAAAATATTAGTTAAAAAAATTTAATAAATACTATAATATTATCAGACCTGTGGGTCAATAGTGCAGTGGTAGCACTCCCAGGTCACCAAGTACTATTTCTGAGTTCAATACCACTGCAAGGCAGTATCATCTAAGCCTAGGTGATACAGAAAGATCCTATCCAATTTATTATGATGATCACTATCACTTAAGGTCAAGATCTTATCCAATTATGGGATAACCAAAGATTACAAGATGTTTTAGCCGGTTTTAGTGCTAAAGCCATCTCACCATATATGACTAGTTTCACAAGCTCCTGCAGATAGGTTATAGATCTGCTAGTCATAAAAAACTGAATTCCTAACGAAGCTCTGGTATGTTAGTTTAAGGAGGATCTCTATCAATTGAAATCTGTCCAAGACTCCACGTGATCTTCCCATAGGCAGGCCATAATAGGTCATGTAAAAAGGATTTTTGGTAAAATGAAATGACATTAAAGACTTCACATAAGTACTCTATAGGTGTACTGTAATAGGTACTGTAAAAAAAATACCAAATGAAATGAGATACAAAAAGAGGATTCTATACCTTGATCCAATGGCAAAAAGTTGGGAAAGGGTACAGATATAGAGGTGGGTAGTTGAGCTTCCTCTAGCAACAAGCCACATAGGTGTTGACGGTAGTCATAATAGTCAATTAGTTATAACAGCTACTTGTCACAAAAATGAGTTTATTACTTAATATGTAAGATCATAATAATATACAGACATAAGTTGAATAGAATTCAGAGTATAGCATTATGAAATTTGTATTCACAGTCTATAATAGCTTTACAGTAATAAACAGGTTTCATTTAACCCATTAAAAAAAATATTATTATTATTATTATCAAGTTTTTATTTTATATTTTAATATAAATAAAAAAATTTTTTTAAACTTTAAAATATATTCATATAATACTGTATATAAAAAATAAATATATTAATATAAGAAATTGAAAAAAAAATAAAAATAAATTATTTAAAGATATTATAATTTGTTTTTTGATTAATTCATTTATAAATAATTACTTTTAAAAATATTCTTTTTGATAAATATAAATAAAAATAGTAACAATTATAATTAAAATGTTATATTATTAATATATATAAAATATATAAACAAAGTTTTAACTTATTATCTCGGTTAAATATAGCAAAAACCTTATGTTAAGCGCCATGCAATTCTTTATTTAGGTTTCTGTACCATCTCACTGTCTTACCAATATTCAATCGGACTTTTCTTGCCTTTATTCCCCCAAGTTTAGTCTTCCTGTGGCTCGCTTTGGTTGCTACTTGTTATCTCAAATCTCTTTTTGGTAGTGTTCTTGTCTGTCGCTTTATTTTTTATAGTAACAGCAAATTTTCAATTTCTCTTATAATTGACTGCTTCCATACCTTTTGCAAGCTCTACATCTTATTAGTAAAATGTCTGAGATTCGCCGAAAACTCGTGATTGTCGGTGACGGTGCCTGTGGAAAAACATGCCTCTTAATTGTTTTTTCCAAGGGTACCTTTCCTGAAGTATGTTGATGCAACTTTATTTATTTAATTCCAATTTCGTTCGTTCATTATAAATAGAATACGTAGTTAGGAATGACGAAATATTCTATTGTATATATTTTCGATGCGTTTTAATATAAAATCTAAAAGGTTTAATTCAATAAATAGGTTTACGTCCCTACCGTGTTTGAGAACTACGTTGCAGACGTAGAAGTAGATGGCAGGCACGTGGAATTGGCTTTATGGGATACAGCGGGTAAATTATTTATGTTCAACTTTTGTGCGTTAATTGTTCGTTTAATAACCATGGAATCCTTGCGTAATGGATAGGTCAAGAAGATTATGATCGTCTTAGACCTTTATCTTATCCTGACTCTCATGTTATCTTGATTTGCTTTGCTGTTGATTCTCCTGATTCCTTGGATAACGTGCAAGAAAAGGTAAGATTGCTTGATACATGAACTTAGTTGCCTTTATAACGAGAATACACGGATTCATTACGGAAAAAAACAATCCACCCATGAGAGTAACGATTCTAACATATATAAATTAAACAGTGGATCTCAGAGGTAATGCATTTCTGCGCTGGGTTACCAATTATCCTGGTTGGCTGTAAAAAGGATTTGAGGTTTGATCCTAAGACTATTGAAGAATTGCGTAAGACCTCTCAAAGGCCGGTGACACCAGAAGAGGTAAGAGCGAATGGCATTTCTTCCTATCTCTTCCAATAAATGTATGTTTTTATGCGTACATTAATTGCCATTTTTTAAAAGGGTATGGGCGTTGCCCAGAAGATTGGAGCACACAAATATCTGGAATGCTCGGCAAAAACTGGAGAGGGCGTGCGCGAAGTCTTCGAACATGCCACACGGGCTGCTCTTTTGACCAGGAAAAAGAAGAAAAGTCACTCAAATTGTATGGTTTTGTAAGGAATTGGTGCATAAAATAAGCTAATGTTAATAAGGATAGGTCTATTTTTTTAATCTTTTTTTTTTGGTTGACCATCTATTTCCTATATTAAGACTACTTTTATCAATTAGCCAGTTATTTTATTTTTTGTCTTTTCATATTTGGTTGTAAGATTTATCTTTTCTCAGTGTATCTCTCTTTATTATATATATTTATATTTATGTATCCATCTGTACGTCTAACTGAGGATTATTTATTTCGCTTTTTCAATTTTCTCGGGTACGTCTACATACAATCATGTCATTTTATTCGTTAGCCCAATCTTTTGAAAGAATACAATCGCAACCAATTATAATACAAATGATCTGATTTATTTGATTATTTTCTTTCAAATAACGATGACTCTTAAACAATTAACACCGTTTCCATCATTAATTACGTCTATGGTTTATTACCGAACAGTACAAAACAATAAAACTCAAATTGCGATGAAAAATGCTACCTAAGAACTCATCACATACATTCTAGCATTACTGTAACCATCCTGAACTATTTACGTGCAACAACGAACTCGTGATTAAGATTCTAAATTAAAAGAAACACCAATTCGATGTGAATTTGTACTTAGTTTCGAGGTCTCAAAACTACCACCGATAGAAATTTTGACACCCGGACGAAGTTCTTGCGTGTATCCGAGACCCAAACGACCAAAATTATCGATCTTCGCCTGTATAAATTAATGAAAATATTAACATTCCGCCAATATTTGACTACCAACGAATTCAAACCATGATAATCACCTTAACAAACGTATGACGGTCCAAGAAATATTTGGTACCGACTTCCATACTAATACTATTATCACCTGAAGTAGTAGTATCCCAACGTGCCTTCGCTCCAGCTTCGATATCAGAATGTACACGGTGATAATATAGAAGCTCGTATGCAGCCATCGAATTGGTAGCTTTGAGGGTGATATTGTATTCGGGAGCAGTGAAACCTGTAGATACACCATAACGGGTGACGTTACCATCCGAGACATTATAAAATGCCTCGCCGCCTATAAGGAACCCCTCATGACCGATCACAACATCTCCTTGGAATACTGGTCCCTCGAGAAGGTCAGCATAAAGCTTGGTATGAAAACCTGGCTGTTTAAAAATCAAGCCTCCTTTGACCTTCTTACTGCCGCTGGCTAGGTGAAGATTTGTGTTTAAGTCTAATTTCAACCCTTTTGCAAGATTATTATCAAGTTCAACTTGGACGTTTAAAGAGTTGGCTGTTGTCCAGGTTCCAGTGAACAAGAAACCTCTTTTGGGGTAATTATATTTGCTTTTAAACTCGCCGCTAATTCCCCCGGCCTTTAAATCTTTTTGACCCGAAAGGATGAATGACTAGTGCAAAAAAGTTACAACTATCACTTTTCATTTGCAGAAACAAAAAAACGATAACTACTATACTTACTACGTTATTAGGAGCGGTTGTTTTTGATTCAAGCTTGATTGTTCCAACTGGGTAATCCTTACCAAGTAGATCACTAGCAGATTTGCCGATGTCTGAGTAACAAACTGGAACAGGAGCGGACATCGTGCTGTGAAAGATCTTTGTAGAAGAATTTTACCGTATTTATGAGATTGAAAACTTTAATTCGCGTCATATCACCACAAATATGGTAAATCAAGTAAATTTTGAAAAAATTATTAAGGATACCTATAGGTGATCTAACGTCAAGGTTCTTTAAAAGTTAAAAGAGAAAACAAGGCGAAAAGACAGATGTATTCGTGCACTCCGATAAAAAAAAAAAATCCACCCAATCATATGTTCTAAAGTCATCATTACTTGTAAATTAGATAATCATTCATCTATAGTTTATCATAACAAGATGCGATACATTAAATATAAGCTTTAATATTATCAAGTGAATAGATAGACTCTTAATAGTTGATACTTATATAATTTTTTTTTGAAACGGCGACTTAGCCTTGTTTTATTAAAGTTTCAAGTCAGGGTAAAATGCAGATACAAGAAATAATTACTAATAAAACACTCCTAGAATTGTCTATGAGAGTTAAAATTTTACACTGCTACTATCATTTTGATTCCATAAGCTGATTACTCTTCGAGGATTTCATTAATTGAGAACATACTGCCTGTTCCTTAGCTACTTTCAATATCTCCATGTTGTGAAATTCTAACTGCTTCAATCCATGGAATAGTTTGTTGTCAAGAAGAATTACTTAGATCAATTTAATTCATATATCAAGAAAGAAGATTCATCAATTCTTCTAGATTTTTCTAATACACATGCTTAGGTAAGATATATCATTTCAAAAAGAAAAATTTGATCCCTTATATCTTGCTTGCCATAAAACCCAACTTTGCCACAGAAACTTTGCTTCAAATTTTTACCTATTTGATAGAGCTGAATAAGAAATCTACTCAATGACTAGAGATAAATAACTATAATTATAAAATCCAATTATAGTATCTTATAACCTTTATCATGATTGGATGAATTTTTTTTTAAAGAAACCAATGATATAAACAGAGAGGTATTCTATATCCACTTGTATTAGGCTCAATAATTTATAGTGAATCATAGATTCTTATGAAACTAAAAAAATACATTTAGACACATAAGGTAATCAATAAGAACTTGTTTATATTCTTTTACTAATATGAGCTCTATTTATCCAATCACAATATGAGAAACTTTGTGCTACTCAAAATTCAGGATCAAACTGAGGTAGATAAAATTCCTTAGAAAAAATCAAGAATGAGTACTATGAGAAGTTAACAAATAACAAGAGAATAAGGAAATTATCTCTCATCATTCACAGACTTCTATGATATTTTTCTACAGTGTAAGATAATGTCACATTAGTTCTTTTTCCTTTTAGAACTTTTTTGCTATTGATAGAAAAGGTTTTTTCTTGATATTTATGATCATTAAAGATCAAGTTTTTGTTTGAAGAAGATAGTAAGCAAAAAGAGAACAAGTTAGTTTAAGAAGAATGGTAAGAATTTATTAACTTAGAAGTATAAAAACTTCTTATAAATATCTTTTTTGTATATAGTTAGAGGATTAGCAGAAAGAGTTCCATTGATACTTATATTATATATAATATATAGAGTAGATGTATTTACTATTTTTTTTTGTTTTTTTAATTTACAATACAATAAATAGATATTATATAAAATATTATATATTAATCAACTTATTATTATATATTATTAATTGAAAAATTATAATTAATAAAAAAAGCTCTTTTTTACTAATTCTTTGATTATATATAAAAAAGATATTTACAAGAAATTTTTATACTTTTTGATTAATAAAGTCTTTATACTTTTTTTAAAACAACTTGAAACTTATCTTCAAGAGTTAATTTTATTTTCTTCTACTTGTTTATAAACTTTTTTAAACAAAAACTTGAATTTCTGATACTTTAAAAAGATTTAAATATATACTTATTTTACTAAAATCAAGAAGGTTCTAGGAAATAAAAAGATTAATTGGAAGAATGTTATCTTTAAGAACTGAAAGTAATATTGAGATAGAGATTTTTTTGACAAAAAAAAATTTATTTAATATCTTTTTATATACTATCTATTATTCTTTTAAAATATTTATTATCTTTTTATAGTTTTTTGAAAATTTTTATCTATTTTAGTTTGATTTTAAATTTTTGGTAATACAACACTATCTACTGTAAACCACTGCATACAATATCCCCCTAAAGTAATATCCTCCCTTAAATAATACCCAATAGTATTCAAGAAAATTGTTACTTAATAAATGATTACTACCCATGTATATTAAGTTAGAGCCAATAAAATTACAGTATGAATGGGCAAGTGAGAAATACATCAAATAATAATAAGACACTAAATATCCTACCATTTATACTATCCCCCTTCTAGTAGAATACCCCCCGAGTACTAATCAATTTATCATGAGGTAAATTGATTAATATCCAGGGTATTATATGTAGTGATTTATAGTAGTATCTAATTAATTAATATAAAACATATTGATAACAAAATATAAATAAGTTTTTATTGATTATATTTATATATTCTAATAATATTATTGATCAAAACTCTTTCCGCTGATCCTCTGACCACACACAAAAAAGATATTTGCAAGAAGTTTTTATACTTCTTTACTAATAAAGTCTTAATACTTTCATTAAAACAACTTGAAGTATAATTTCAAGAGT